GCTTCATCCTCATTCCCAAACGGAATGAGGATCGAAGCAGAGGGCGGGGTAAAGAAGGGGGCGGGGCTTCACCACGTGACCGCCCCGCCCCCTAGAGGTTCTCTTCCGGAGCTCCGTACCTGAGAGCCCCCCCCCCCCGACTAGAGCCCTGCTTATGGGAAGCCCATGAGCACAGCCAGAAGGAAGCAGCTCTCCCCTGTTGTTGCCCTCCAGCCACTGGGGTTCAAAAGATATACTACCTCTAAACCTGGAAGTTGCATTCAGGTCACCTGGCTAACAGCTATTGATACGCTTTTCTTCCACAAATTTGTGTAATCCCTTGAAAACCACCTAAGGCGTGGCCAAGGCTACACATGGCAGTAAATTAGACAAGTTGGGAATACATTGTGCAAAGAAAAACCTGTCTGCGCTCATCAACTTCATCAGGTAACCATGACTGAGGGAAAGTGGAGGGGATTCTTTATTCACTTTCTCCTTCAATCACATCTGCTTTTGATGTTATTGTTTTGGGGGGTTTTAAACTGAAAAAGCTCTAAATCCTTAACTTTTCCTTGTAGGAGAGATAATTGTGGTTGTCCTTTATCTGCACCTATTTAAACTCCAGCCTCTTTGAAATGAGATGACCAGATTCGTTGAAAGAGCAGTGCCAGAACATTGGTTTAGAAGCTGACTCACTTCAATGATGGCTGCAGTTTCTAATTAACCAGGATGTTAGCAGCAGTCAGCATTACATCCTGTCATGAAACTGACCTTTTTCTGGCCATTTCTTGGCCTTTCAAAATCTTGGATTCAGGCTTTTGGTCCTAGTAATTTATGGAAGGTCCTCTCTGGGAAACTAATTTCATGATGATTTGCAATTCAGATAAATAAGGGATGATATGGACACAGGTGCAAATGAGATCATGAGAGTTTCAAGGCCATAGACCAAGAGGGAGTTTTGTACTTGCATTCCATCTCATTAGCACAAGAAACCTTTGGCAGGAGTGTTTGCTTGATCATGGACACATACTAGCTGCAGAAGTACGTGGTCACCAGTGCTCCCTCTTAGCTGTGGAGTCTTGTGAGCAAAAATTCTACTTTGTGAGCTACTGGCATTAAAGTTGTGAACAAGTGATTTGGCTGCTGCATAAATTAGTTTGCTCTAGAGCCCTCCTTCCTGAGCGAAGACAGAAATGTGTGTTGTTGTTCAGTCACAGTCAAGTCCGACTCTTTGCGAAAGCGATGGCAAACCTAGACAGCATAATAAAAACTAGAGAGATCACCCTGCCAACAAAAGTCCGCATGGTCAAAGCAATGGTATTCCCAGTAGTACTGTATGGCTGCGACAGTTGGACTATAAGGAAGGTCAAGCGCCGAAGAATAGATTCCTTTGAATTATGGTGCTGGAGAAGACTCTTGAGAGTCCCTTGGACTTCAAGGAGATCAAATCAGTCAATCCTAAAAGAAATCAACCCTAACTGTTCCCTGGAAGGCCAGATGCTGAAGCAATGGCCAGCAAATGAGAAGCGAGCACTCACTGGAGAAGACCCTGATGCTGGGAAAGATTGAAGGTCAAAGAAGACGGGGACGGCAAAGGATGAGATGGTTAGACAGTGTCATAGATGCAACGAACATGAAATTAAGCAAACTCCGGAGCACGAGGGAAGACAGGAGGACCTGGCATGATGCAATAGGCTAAAAAACTGTGAGCTAGCTCACACTAACTCAGCTTAGAGGGAACAATGGTGGTCACCAGTGATCCCTCTAAGCTGAGTTAGTGTGAGCTAGCTCACTGTTTTTTAGTCTCCGGCTCACACATTTTTGTCTTAGTTGAGGAAGGATGGCTCCAGAGCAAAGTAATTTATGCAGTAGCCAAATCGCTCGCTCACAACTTTAATGCCAATAGCTCACAAAGTAGAATTTTTGCTCACAAGACTCTATAGCTTAGAGGGAGTGTTGGTGGCCACATGTCTTAGCAACACACCTGATTGATCCACCAGGATCAGGCCAGCTGTGGGCAATCTCCCATAAAAGATCATTCATTCTAGCTTGTACTTTTGGGTCATCCTTTTGACTAGGTTCGGTCTTGCCTGGCCAGAATACCTGCCTCTTGGATTTTGGACTTACCTGGACTCTTTTCAGCCTGGCCTGGTAATATCTGGGCCAGAGAACCAAAAAGCCTGTATAAGTGTTTTAGGTTAGCTAGTTAGATTTTATTATTTTCCTTTTCGTTTTGCACTGGTCTTATATTTGTAACCTTTTGCACATTTTTTAAAAATAAACCTTGTTAACTATATTTCTGTGGTGTTATTTGGGTTTGGGTCAGTCTAAACCCAATACCTTGGCCTATTTTGGCTACAGCTACCAAAGTAATTGTTCTTGGAACTCATCTTGCAATTGTCCTACCTTGCAGGGGTGACCTTGATTAACACCTGGTAAGGCTGAAGGTTAGCTAGAGGGGCTGGTGGTGGCTTGTTATCCTGGGTAGTGAGGATTCTCTCCCCAGTTTTGTGCATTTTGCTTTTTGACTTGACACATCCTCATAGCCAGTTGTTAGAAAAGGAGGCTGTAAAGGTAGAAAAAAAGTTTGGTATTTGAATTATTTGCCTACTTTCTATAGACAGAGATGGATCATCGATGATGTTTCAAATAAGGGAAATCAACACATGTTCAAAAACATTTTTCTATGCTTACTTAAAAAAAAACACCACTTCCTATTGCAAGGGAAAGTGAGTCTGTGCATGCTCAAAGACACCAGGTCAGAGCTTCCTGATGTTTTGTTTTACAAAAAGCTGGCAGGTACTTTGGGCTGCCAGCTACCTGGAGGGAAAAGTCATGTCTCTTTAACAGAAGCTTGATGTGATGTCATTTACCTCTGTGCCATGAGAAGATTCAACTGCCCATTTCTACACACTAAACCTCCACTAAAGGGACAGGCCATTTTTCTCCAGGCTTGTTGGCAACCCTACTTAAAATACTAACAGAGATCATGGTAACAATTCGTGGAGGTGGTACAGAAGATATAAAGGAGTTAAGGGACTGTGATTACCCACCTTGAGCCTATGGACTGGATGGGCTACTGTCTGGAATCTATATCCATGCATAGCATAGTAGTGAAATGATGTCAAATGTAAGTTCCTGACTCCTTATCAGATCCTTTGGGATCTCTAGTATGGCTCATGGAACCCTTACCACATTTCACACCAGTTAATTACTTTCAGGGCCACAGCCCCCATGTACTTAATAAGGCAAAGGTGTTGATTATAGTATAACAGCATGGCAACACTTATCTAGCTTCTTTGAGTTCACACCAGGGTGGCAAGTATCAAGACAAGACACAATAGAAGTCCAGTAGCACCTTAAAGACTAAAAACATTTATTTGGTATTAGCATTTGAGTCAGGCTCACTTCCTCAGATATAATGGGAAAGGAAATGATTTCCCTAATTATTATGCATGAAATTCCATAGGGGGAGGGGGAAGGGGGGAGAGAAGAATAGAGAAGCCTGGTATCATACATAGGTGTGATTCTCTGTCATGGACTTGAACCGCTTGCATAAATATGCAATTTGCTGCTCTATTTGGATATATTCTGCCTAGGTCTACAGCTTTGTTTTAATTTATGCCTCTTTTCTTTCTAATTTGCCTCTCATTCATCTTCTGTTGCTCTTTGAGAGCTACATTTTGTAGTGTGCAGCGGGTATCAAGAGCTTGGGGGAACTGATATTCATTGAGTGTGCAGCTGATGTTCATTGAATCATGACATGATGTCAGATGCAAGGCTCTAAGCCTAAAATGGGCCTTTTGGAATCTCATGAAAATATGAAACTGCCATATACTGAATCTATAACAAGGTCAGTATTGCCTACTCTGACTGGCAACATTTCTCCAGGATCTCAGGCTGAGGTCTTTCATATTACCCATTTCCTGGTCCTTTAATATCTGGAGATGCCAGAGACTGAACTCAGGATCTTCTGCACATACAGATGTTCTGCGGCTGAGCCATGACCCCCAACCCTGACTCTTGGTCCCCTTACTGCATTCCACACCAGTTAAACAATTTCAAGGCCAGACTCCCAGTGTTCTTAGTAGGGCAAAGGTACTGACTTGTCAATGGCTGCTATTGTTCATCAAATTGCAGCCCAGTTGGCTTTTTGCCATGAAAAAATGCCATTCATCTGCTGGGTGAAGAATTTGGCCCTCCACATCCTCTGGGCGTTTCACTTTCAAGACAGATGTATCTTTCCACGCCTTATGTGACAACCTGCATCTTCACTACAGTGTGTTAAGTTGCAGTGTAGCAGCACGAAGTTCGTTTATCTTAAGAAAAAGAAACGGCAATGAAACGGCATGTGGAGGTGTCGCTTTAGGAAGGGCCGTGCATACACTGATACTTCAGAAGAGCCCCCAGCCCACAATACTCTCATAGTTTTGCACAAGCCCCTGTCCAGACCCTGGGGCCACCCTCGCAGAATTTCTTCCTGTAGCTTCTCACCAATTCCTCCCAACTCATTTCCCACGGCAGGACTCCTCTGTCCTTGACAGTTGCCTAGCAGGCGGGAACACAGCAGTACCGCGACGTTTCCCGCGACTTCCATCTCACCGCCATGCTAAGAGACAGACAGCTTCACACCTCCTGAAATTCTGCCTGCTACAAACACACACGTTTTTTAAAAAGCCTGCCAAGCTTCAATGCGCTGCAAGGCTTCTGATTCTGTACGGCGGCGATGCATTCTTTTCATCGCACTGAACGGCACTGGAGGCAGTCAGCAGACACTGCCGGACATGGGAAGACCGTGACCACCGCAACGGCTTGTGGGTAAAGTGAAGGGCAAGTGGGCGCGCGCAAAGTACTCCGGGAAGCGAAGCTGAGGGGTGGGGGTGGGGACAGAATGCGCAGAGGGTTGTGGGTACGAGGGGAGGGCAGGAAACGGGGCTCTTGCCTGGGAGGGAGGCTTCCGGTTCCGGTCGGGCCTGTGAGAGCTGCAGTTTGGCCGTGCCCCCCCTACCCCCCACCCCAGAGGGACCAGCGACGCCCCCCGCGTATCCTGGGGGCAAGGCAAGGGCCAGGGGGCTTCCCCCGACTCCAATCCTGCTGCACGGGACCAGCCCCTACCCGGGGCGCGGAGGAGGCTGGGGCAGCGCCACACACCGGTGAGTGCCACCCAAGAGCCAGTCCTGCCCTAGAAATTACCTCCTCGCCCCTACCGTATTGCGAATGAGAATCCTCGCAAGCCCCCTCCCCACATTAACGCCTTTTGACTTCCGCCTCCCCCTCCCTTCAGTAGCCCCACCCCTGGCCACTCTGCAAACCCGCTTGACCGACCCTTTTCTCTCCCCCCCCTTTCCCCCAGTAGTCCCTTACTCCGTGGTGGGGGTGTGCTCTTTTCCTTCCCCCCCCCCCCAACCCGAAAGCTGTGAGCTTCTCATCTCTCCGAACCTTATAGGGTAGCATGGAATTAGGTTGCTCCCCAAACTGCTAATCTGCGTAGTAACATACATGCTCACAGTCCAGTATCTGCTCTCCTCCCCCCTCACTTCTCTTTAACCTGCTTGGTATCCTTTTATAAAGCACAATCAACATCCCCGTCTCTTGCCTCAAAACTAAACTGTACTTTATCACAAGCTTGTTTTATCTCATAAGCCTGCCGGTGTCATAAAGGGTCCTCTGCCTTTTCTTCAATTCACTGGGCACAATCTGATTGTCTGCTCCCATCTTTCCGAATGCTACAGGCATTTTCCAAGTGAAAGGTGTTGCGTCGATTTCCCTGATTCCCCCACCCCCATCCTACCATTTAGTTCTGCCCACACCTATGCATCAGCAGTAGGGAACTGTCTTCCTCATGGATATTTCTTGTCTCCCTATAGGAAGCTCCTTTCCTGAGTGGCTTACTACTCTTCTACAGTTATCACTTGTGTTTCAATGTTCACCTTGTGTCTATCCTTGGTAAAAAACCAAACCCCTCCTATCCATCCTTCCAGCATTCTCCGTATTCATACCACTCTTGTAACCTTCCCCATCAGTGTGATCCCATACTGCACCATCTCCTGTCTGTTTCTGTGACTCTGTGCCAGCCTCTGTCAACATCAAGCCGTCTCTGTCTCATTCTGTCAAGTGTGGGAAGTTGCCCCACTCACATTTCATCAGAAGCATCCAAAGCACTCTCTGCTGCCCCCGCAAAAACCCAGCTTTACACAGAATCAAGATAATTCTTTGTGGTGCAGAATTTGGGCTACGTTCTGTGACCTGTATGAATTGAGCAAATTTGCTTGCATTTTCTCAATCTTTTATTTTGCACTGCTAGTCATGAGGGGAGGGGGAAGAGCTATGGACTCCACTGTAGCTTTACCCTCCTGTGTGTACTAGGAACTTTTGCATCAATCCAGCACTGGCTTTTGATACTTGATTGGGCATTGCCCACATCCTGTCTTACTGCATTAGTCTTCATCCCAATGAAAGATGCCGTTTTCCCGTGGAAGTATTGCCTAGCAGATTATTTTCCCCCTTCCTCGAACATCATACTTTTGAGATGGCATGGTTCCTGTGGCATGATTGCATTGCCCCAGTTCTGCATGCTTGAATTAGTGGAGAATTAGCAGGCAGTTCCTGAACTGGAAAATGTACGTTGCAAAAGCAGTAACAATGGGGGACCATCTCTTGCCATTTTAATGCTACTCCATTTGTTGTGTTGAGCAGGAAAACTCCTAGGATTCTTTATATATGTATATCCTGTCCAGAAGTGCAGGAGGAAACCGGCAATGGAGCATGTTCCTTGGGTGACAGTTATCTAGGGAACCAGAACACACTCGGGGACAGAACCCAGGAGCCATTGCTTCAAGCCCTGCATGCTTCAATTAATGCCGTAGATCTCATTCTCTCTCTCAAGGACTGTGGAATCAGACCTCCTTGAGTGCTCCTCATTTTAGAGAGCTTGGTTCTTTCTGTCCTGCTTTTGCCTCCATGCCTTCAAAGGACTGGGAGATCTTGCAGCCCCACCCACCCTGCTGAAACAACAAATGCCCCTCTCTTCTCTTTTGTAGACCTTTCTTTACCAGTGCCTTCCTTGTTACCTGTGTCTTCTCTCTTCCCCATCTCTGTAATGTTGTCAGACTCCTTACTGAGTCCATCTAATGTACAGTTCAGTTCTTCTGTTCGTGTTTATGTTGCTACTTCTGGTGTGTTTTTTTAATGTAGCTGCAGTTTAGTCATTGTGTCACTTCTTTGCTTAGTATAGCTCCTAGTATGTTGTTGGCACTGAATGAAGGCAGTTATTTAAAGGAACCCAGGCATTCTGGCTTACATTGTTGCCTGTAGCAATGTTCTCTGCCCTGCTCCTTTATCCAGAAATCTTGGAACTCTGGTTTCCAAGCATTCTTCTGCCGCATTGTAACTCATTGCTTTGCCATTGACTGCTCTTTACCACTGGGGGCGTCAGTCGTGCTCCAGACTTCTGTCAGTTTCATTTTAATTTAAGGCAGTTTGCCACTGGTTAAGATTAGGGTAAAAGTGGTTGGTGATAACAGTGTTTCTTAGTAAGGTGCTACTGGACTCAGATCTTGCACTTAGAACAACAGTGTATCTATGTCATACACGTGGGGAGCAGCTTGGGAATTTTCTTGTGTTTCCTAAGTTTTAAAAAAACATTTTGATAGTGAAAAGTTGGGGGAACTAGTTGTAGCCCAAGTTTTTGCTAGGCGTCTGTGCGTGGGCATACCTGCACAGGTGGCTGCAAAGTTGGTACAGAAGAATGTTGAAATTGGCTTCAGGAGAGAGGACGAAGATGGAAGAATGAACCAAGAACGTTACATGTTTGATCCTATATATTCACCAGATTGCAAAGCTATACTGTAGTGGTCCCCTGCCCCTTTCTGGCAGGAATTGTGGACTAATTCACATTAGGCTACTTCTGTAAGAATGCCCTTCTGTACAAGAGCATGAAATACACACACAATCACCATCATGTGAGAAGGCTCATTCCTATGTTTTGTTCCGTATGTACACCCTAGGAGCTCCTCATAGTGTGTATGTGGAGCAAAACTCAGGTATTTCTGATCCATTGACATTTGGCTACAGCTTCCAGCAAAGCAAATGGATATATTGCTCACAACACTCTCCATAAGGATTTCATTTTTTTCTCTTGCAGAGAAGGGCTTTCCATTCAAGAACAGCCTATCATGTAAGACCCCTGATGAAAGGGGGGGGGAGCACTGAGACAAGACCAGTATAGCCTTATGTGACTTGGACCCTTTGTCCCTTGGAGACTGCTTGCATCTCAATATCACATTGAAAGAGGATGACCATTTTACTACAGGGTAAACTTTTACCATGGATAGGCCCATATGTCATGCCTAGCCATGTGGTAACATGTTTCGGAAGACATTTGCACTAGATCAGACATCCAGGCCAGTAGTAAAAGTCTCCTTTCAGTGTAGAGGGGATGCTTCAGATAAATTGTTTCTCAAATGGCTGTACTTCTGCACCATGTCCCCCCACAATGTGCTTTCCTAACCATGCTACCCATGTACTGAACTGCACCTGCCTGCAAGTTCCTTCCCTTGGATCATTATTGGAGCCTTAACCTGTAGCATATTTGGAAAGCCCTGCAGTAATTTTCTATTGGGACAAACATGTTGGTGGCCACAGTCAAGCTAACAAGGTGGATGTGTGGTTATTTAACTTTTTGATGACATTTTCCATAAACGTTTTGGTTTGGAGCCTATGAACCCCTGTGCACTAAGGCAGCCTCTGTGGGGGAGTGCACTTCCTCTTCCACTACGACTTCTGTTTGCACAGGGGCTGTTTGAAAACCATTGATCTTGTACGAAATAACGTCAGAAGAGGAAGTGCACTCCATGGCAGACGCCACCTTCGCGCTCTTGGAATTTACTTTGGGACCAAAGTAGCAGTCTGCCATTCTTATTTCATTATGGTGTAATTCCTCAGGAAGGGCTAGACAGGAGGCTGTTTTCTTCCCCTTGCCCTGCAGTGCTGAGTGGCAGGCCTGGCCCAATAGGAGAATGTTGCCTCCTGGCCACCTGCTGTAACTGCAGGCATCTCCAAACGGAAGGTTGACTTGCTACTCACCTTAGTACCGATTCCTTTAAAAACTGGCTTCAGGGTTGGGTTTTGTTTTTTAAACTGCCCTTTGCTTTATTTTTGTTTTTAATTTCATTTTAAAAATGGTATTTGTGGGCTGGCTCTTGAGTTCTAGCTTAAAATTCCAAAGAACTGGACAATGAATTACGGTATTTGCATTTATTAGAAACCTTACCTACCATTAAGTTATAATAAATAATTGTGATTTTAAAAAAATTTTCATTCTTTTACAATAAAGTTAGCTAACTTGTTTTTGTAACTAGTGTATGTTATCTAATCGGTTGACAATATTAAAATGTCTTGTTTTGGTGTTCTAATAAAGTTAATGCTTTAAAAATATAGAAACCAGCACTTCACCCACCAGCTGACAAAGTCTTCTTTGGTTGGTTTAATGGCCAGCTCTGCTTGTACATAGAATGACAATGAATGTTATAGGGACGGTGGTGGAAAGGACCGTCTAGTCTCCGCCAACTCACGGCAGCCCTATTGGGTTTTCAAGGCAATAGACCAGTGATGGCGAACCTTTTAGAGACCGAGTGCCCAAGGTAAAGGTAAAGGTTCCCTTGCTCGAAAGCCAGTCGAATCCGACTCTAGGGTTGCGGTGCTCATCTCTGTTTCAAAGCCGAAGAGCCAGCGCTGTCCGAAGACATTTCCGTGGTCATGTGGCTGGCATGACTAAACACCAAGGCGCACGGAACGCTGTTACCTTCCCACCGAAGTGGTACCTATTTATCTTCTTGCAATTTCTTGCTTTTGAGCTGCTAGGTTGGCAGGAGCTGGAACTAGAGACGGGAGCTCACTCCGTCATGCGGCGCACTCGGGTCTCGAACTGCTGAACTACCGACCTTCCACAGCCTGCAGTTCAGCGTCTTAACCACTTGAGCACCAGTGATGGTGAACCTTTTAGAGACCGAGTGCCCAAACTGCGACCTAAAACCCACATATTTATCGCAAAGTGCCAACACGGCAATTTAACCTGAATACTGAGGTTTTACTTTAGAAAAAACAACTCATATATTAATTTAAGATGATCCAGCCAAAGTAAGGAAAGCGATCC